ATAGATAGATAGATAGATAGATAGATAGATAGATAGATAGATAGATAATTGATAGAGATGAGATATAGAAAGCTAGATAGATAAACAGCTATGAGAGATTAGATAGATAGATAGATAGATAGATTAGATTAGATTAGATTAGATTAGATTAGAGACAGAGATAATTACATACATTCTTACATGTGGCTGGAGGACCACAACAAGGCTAATTGATGTTCACTGCCAAGAAATTTGACAAAGGGGAGGGGGGTTTCTCCCGTGTTATGAACCTTTCTGCCACAGTCGCTAAGTGAATCCCCGCAGTTGTTAAGTTAGTGCGAGTCCTTGGCTTGCAACAGCTCACTTAGCAATCTTTGGAAGTGACAACGGCCCTGAAGAAAAGGGACTCGTGATTGTTTTGCCGCGCTGAATGACCATCGGTCACTGGAAGAAGCCCTGGAAAAAGTGATCTATGACTGTTTTCCATACTTATGACCGTCACAGCGTCCCCAGGATCATGTGATTAAATTTCAGGCACTTGGCAACTGACTCAGAGTTATGACAGGTGCAGGTTCCAGTGAAGCAAGAGTCAAGGGGGAAGCCAGATTCGCTTAACAACTGTGTTTGGGGGAGTCCTTGACTTACGACCACAGTGGAGCACAAGACTTATGTGGCTAAATGAGAAATGGCTTTTGCTCCATTTTACGTCCTTCCTCGCCATGGTTGTTAAGTGAGTCGCTGCAGTTGTTAGCTCAGTCACACAGTCCTTAAGCAAATCTGGCTTCCCTGTGGACTTGGCTTGTCAGAAAATCTCAAAAGGGGAATCACATGACCCCCCCACCCCGGGACTCTGCCACCGTCATAAGTGCAAGTCAGTTGCCAAGCCTGTGAAAGTTTAAATCACATGACACCCCCAGGGATGCTGCAATGGCCACCATGGTGGAAAAACGGTCATTAAGTGTGAACAACGGTCATCGGTCCCTTTTTTTTTTCAGCGGCCTTCCAACTTTGCTCACTAAGTGAACTGCTGCAAGTTCGAGGACTGTGCTAACCTAACGGCAAGGATTCACTTAACAACCATGGCAAAGAAAAGTCGTAGAACGGGGCAGAATCCTCTGAACAAATTCCTTGTTTAGCAACCAACATAAATTTGGGGCTCCGTTGCGTTTGTAAGTTGAGGACTCTGTACTTGCAAATGGGGACACGAAGTCCTTTATTCTTATTAACGCACACACGGACGTCCAGTTTTCTGTATTTTATGGCACGCTTGCCCCCGAAGCGGATCTAGGGTTCAAGATGCCCTTGTGGACTACTTAGGAAAGCTAACGGGTAATCAGAGTTGGAAGGGACCTTGTAGGTCATCTAGTCCAACCTTACTCCCATTTCTGACCGATGGCAGTCCTGTCTCTTCTTGAAGGCCTCCAGGGATGAAGCTCCCACAACTTCCGAGGGCAACTTCTGTTCAATGGGTGGATTGTTCTCCCTGTCAGAAAATTCCTCCTTATTTCCAGGCAAAAAGGTACAGAATCCAGGAGAAGACCCCTCCTCTTCCCCCCCCCCCACCCTAAAGTTTTCTGCAAAATCTTTGCCATCTTTTTTGGGGATCTCTAGATATGACAAGTCCCCTCCTCAAGTAGGTTTAGGATGGCAAAAGCCTTTCCTTCCCCCGTTCACTCATATTTTTTTCCTCTTCCATTCTTCCAGATTTCTCCCTTCCTTCCAGCCTCCCTCTCTCCCTTTCTTTCCTTCCTTTCTCCCTCCCACCCACCCGTTCTTCAACTTCCTTCATTCCCTCCTCCTTCCTTCGTTTCTTTCCTCCTCCCTTCTGTTCCTCCTCCTTTCCAGCCTCCCTCTTTCCTTCCTTCCTCCCTCTCCCTTCCCTCCACCTTCTCTTTCTCACTCGACTTCATTCCTTTTCCCTTCTCTCCCTCCCTCCTTCCATTCTTTCCTTTCATCCTCCCTTTCCTTCCCTCCCTCCCTTCCTTCCAATACATCCCTGCTCAGCTCGCAGGGCATCATTCCCCAACCTGGCGCCCTCCCAAGCCGTTCACTTCAACTCTGAAGGTTGTTGGTTCAACCAGACAGGGTGAGAAGTTACTGAGGTGGCAGCAGGCTGTGGAAGATGGTGCCAGGAGTCGAGGAAAGCCACCTCCTCTGGGGTCAGGGGAAAGTTGTGGCGTTGGCCTCATCTGGATGGTCTCACCCTTCTGGTCCCAAAACCACCCTGGGTTCCAAAGAAACGGCGATGCATTTAGGCAGATCTCCGCTGGTTTCTGACCAGAAATGGACACAAGATGGATTCTCCTTGGAACGTGACTCCCATTTCTCCGCCACCACTAATTTTAGCAGGTAGATTTATTTACTTTTTTCCAAGTCTCTTTCTCTAGTGTCCAATTTCCAGGTCTTCTAGGTGGACGGATGTCTCCACGTTGAGCAAGGTGACTGTTCCCTAGTGCAGCCCCCGTAGGAGCTGATGGACTCCCATCTTTCTTCTCCCAGTCCTCCCCAAAGGGTCTCCTGTATTCTCTTGCGAGGACTAGAAAGGAAAGCGGGTTCAGATATCCCCCAAAAAAACAGCAACAACAACCCATAATCCTCTCCAAGCATCCCTCTCTGATCACATGGGAGACATCTCGGCCTCCGGATCTTGCTTCGAAGGTTCTGGATCTGACGGGGAGCGATTGTGGAAGTCGATCAGGATGTTGTAGATGAAGAACCCAACGAGGCATCCTAGTGTTGGGGCCAACAACGGCACCCACCACCAGCAGTTCCCTGCTCTGAAGGAAGAAAGATTAGCCAGATTAGCAGTTGACCCTAAACCAGCATATCTCAACCTTGGCCACTTGGGTGGGCTTCAACTCCCAGAATTCCCCAGCTAGCAAGGCTAACTGGAGAATTCTGGGAGTTGAAGTCCCACACATGTACCTTGGCCATTCGATGTGTGGGCTTCAACTCCCAGAATTCCCCAGGCAGTTTGGCTAGCTGGGGAATTCTGAGAGTTGAAATCTCATATGTTTCTTGACCTTGAAGTCCACACCTGTCTCAATCTTGGCCATTTGAAGATATGTAGACTTCCAACTCCCAGAATTCCCCAACCAGCATGGCTAACTGGGGAATTCTGGGAGTTGAAGTCCACACATGTATCTCAATCTTGGCCACTTGAAGATATCTGGACTTCCAACTCCCAGAATTCCACAACCAACATGGCTAACTGGGGGATTCTGGGAGCTGAAGTCCACACATGTATCTCAACCATGGCCACTTGAAGATGTCTGGACTTCAAACTCCCAGAATTCCCCAACCAGCATGGCTAACTGGGGGATTCTGGGAGTTGAAGTCCACACATGTATCTCAACCATGGCCACTTGAAGATGTCTGGACTTCCAACTCCCAGAATTCCACAATCAACATGGCTAACTGGGGAATTCTGGGAGTTAAAGGCCACAGATTTATCTCAACCTTGAAATTCACACGTATGTCTGAATCTTGGCCACTTCAAGATGTCTGGACTTCAACTCCCAGAATTCCACAACCAACATGGCTAACTGGGGGATTCTGGGAGTTGAAGTCCACACATGTCTCAATCTTGGCCACTTGAAGATATCTGGACTTCAACTCCCAGAATTCTCCCACCAGCATGGCTAACTGGGGGATTCTGGGAGTTGAAGTCCACACATGTCTCAATCTTGGCCACTTGAAGATATCTGGACTTCAGCTCCCAGAATTCTCCTACCAGCATGGCTAACTGGGGGATTCTGGGAGTTAAAGTCCACACGTGTGTCGACCTTGAAGTCGGTGTGATAATCCGTCTCATCGGTAAACCAAATCAGTCCCACCAACTCACTGAAACACCTCCAGCCCCCATCCAGCGAGGGCCGTGAATATCCGGGGGGGCAAATCCCTGGAAGGGTTGATGGCGTAGCCGGTGTTCATTCCCATAGACATGCCAATCAGCACGACCAACAGCCCAGTGATGAAGGCGTTGGTGCCCGGCAAGGCCCCGGCGTTCTTCCTATCGTGGATGACCAGGATGCCAATCATAAGCATGCTGCTTGCAATAAGCTGTGGAAGAAAAAGATGAGCGTGAAGGCTCCCGATCATCCCAGAGTATGGTGTGAACCAACAAGACTATTTGCAGCTCGGGGTTAAGCTGTGGCATCCTTGGTGCTCTCTGAGCTGGGTGGTTTCCTTGCAGACATGTTATGACCCAACTAGGTAGCATCAACAGTGTTAAAAGGGACTTCCTGCATGTACACGTTAGCCTATTATTGTATATAAACAGAGCATAAAACCCCACTCCCTTCCAGCACTGATAATATTACCTAGTTGGGTCATGAAACATCTGCAAGAAAAAAAAAAAACCAAGCTCAGAGAGCACCAAGGACCCCAGAAGTCCTCCTCCTTCCCTACCTCCCAGCACTGATTACGTTACCTAGTTGGGTCGCGAAATGTCTGCAAGAAAACAACCAAGCTCAGAGAGCAACAAGGACCCTATATATCGGGTGTGTTTAGCCTGCAGAAGTGAAGGTTTAAGGAAGAAATGAAGTGCTGTTGTACACCAAAGGAAATGGGCTCCTTCTCTCTTGCCCAAGAAGCCAAGATAAGGATCAATGGATTGGAAGAGTCTGCCTGGCAGATATCAAGAAGATCTTCCTGACTTGTACAAGCCATCAAACCTCTGGATTGAATCGTCACACGAATTGGTGACTTCTCCTTCGCTACAGATCTTCCAACAGAATCGATCAAAGCTGGACCGGTTGAAGCTGTGCTTATGCTGGCAGAGGCACCCTGGGCTGTCCCCTTGCTGTTTCCAGGGGGGGTGGTCATGCCCCTGTCAGAGTCTGAATCCAAGGAGGAAGAGGAACAGCTGACAGGGAGGGGAATGTGGCTCCGTGGGCTGTGGAGGGAAGGGCAAAGTCCAGCTGGGCAGAGCAGGGGAGAGTGTTCTGACCCACGCCCTTTTCCGACCAATCAAACACAATTCAAAAAGGACAGAAACCTTGTAATGCTTTTGCAAAATAATCAGCTGTGATAAGCACAAGCCTTGCCAAACTGAGCGAGACTCGCCAAACGATAACAGACAAGAAATAATTTGCAATACAAGAATCTTCAAATACAAACTCAGGATACCGGAATGTCCACGAGGCTGGAGTTTCAAAACGTCTTTGCCTTCTGCAAAGAACGTTCCTCTCACAGCTGGATTTTATCTTCTTGAAAGAGGGGGCATTACCTTGCAGCCTTACTCCCGAGTCACCCGTGCTGCTGCAGCTGCTCTTTCCTGCGAGCAGTCCTGCACGCACGCGTTCACTTGGCACAGGCTCCTCGGGAACCTCCTCATCACTGCTGCCAGCCCCCACCATCTCTGAAGGCAGCAGTCCTCCCTAATGGTCCTGGCCCCTCACCTGAGTCCTCGCTCTCCTCAGCCGTCCGCACCTGCTGCCGGCTAACCACAACAGAGAGGTAGAACAAGGGAGAAGGAGTTCAGAGGTAGACCCAGGCCCACCCCCTCTTCATCCTAGAGCCACACAGGGAGGAATGGAGGAGAGAGTAACAAGGGTTGCGTGGCTTACGGGGGAGGAAAGGGCCCTGATTCCCTTCATTAGACACACCTGGGAAGAGAGTTTAAAAGAGATGCATGCTGAGTGCGGCAGCTGCTGGGAACAAACATGAGTTTATCTTGTGTTGACTTTGGTTATCTGCATTTCTGGCATCCTCCCAACCATGTTGAGTTATTACCGTGCCTTCATATCTGGAATTCTTGCTCCTGCCCTGCCAGAGTAATTATCTCATTTTGCCTGGATTGGACTTGAAGTTACAATTTGTGTTAATCATGTTTTGGACTTAATTTTCTGCAGTCAAAGGCTGTTCCTGGGAGAGTTTTTCTCCAGCCCAGAAGGTAACCAGGACATTGGGGTCAAAGTTGGAGCTAATAAAGGGACTCCTACTGATTATCTGACTGTGTTGCCTTTGTGCCATATCCCGGATCATCACACAGGGTGTCCCTGCTGGCCAGATCTAAGCACCCTGCAGGCCAGATCTGGCCCGCAGGCCTTGAGTTGGACACCCCTGCACTAGACGACTGGCCCTTGCTTCTAGCCATAGTTTCCAGGTCACCAACCTCCTGGAGAAAGCCATTCCAGAGAGACACGTAAGGGGCAGGGTAGGTGGCAAAGATTCCTGCAGTGGCCGTCGGTCCAGTCACAGTCAGGTTGCCTCCTGTGTAATCCTGTAGGGCTTCTAAAAAGGGAAGAAGAAAGACAGTTTTGGGAGAGCAAACATAAAAACCATTAAAAAAAATCTTTATAAGATGGTTTACAGGTGGCATCTTCCACCGGCAAGGCTTTCTAAAATGTTCAAAAAAAGATAAATCTCCAAATTGTTGGAAGTGCAAAGATGCATCAGGTGCATTTTTTCACATGTAGTGGACTTACAAAGCTGCAAAAAATATACATTGGAGATTTTCAGACATGAGAACAAATGGTGGGGAAATGTACTCCATTTAAACAGAATTTTTTCTCCTAGGAATAATATCAGAATGATATAGTGTCAGAGTATAGCAGCTAAATCAGCCAATGAGGACAGTTTGGAAACTGAAACAAGAAGCAGCCTAGATGTGTCTCTATATCTGTGTTGGCAAACCTATGGCATGTGTGCCACAAGTGGCATGCAGAGCCATTTGTGCCGGCACGCAAGCTGCAGACAAACTTACCTCACTGCGCATGCACGCGCCTCACGGCTGATTTTCGGGCAGTTTGAGGCCTTTTTCGGCCTCCCAGAGGCTTGAGGAAGGCTTCTGC